TAAAATTTCCATAATGAATCCCATAGACTAGGGAGCTTAAGTGACAGAAATTCATTTTCTCACAGTTCTGGAGATTTGAAGTCCAATTGGAAGGTGCTGTCCATCCAGGTTAGTTTGTGATGAAAACTTTGTCATACACAGACAGTAGCCTTTCTACCCTTTCTCAGATGGAGTGTGTGTGTGTGTGTGTGTGTGTGTGTGTGTGTGTGGGCATGCGCACATGTACTTGAAAACAGAAGTTTCGTGTTTTTCTGCCTTTCTCTTAAGATTTCAAACCCCTTCCTTATGATGCCTCACTTAAACCTTATGATTCCTTTATATGATTCCCTGTATACATGTAAATGCATCCAGGTTAGGTCTTCATGTAAATGAAGAGGAAAGTACACTTCAGTCTTAACAGTGTTCATCAGTACATTAGGGACCTATCAGCTGGTAAATGACAATAGCCATATTGAATGAATGAAAGAATGAATTACTGGTTTGGGGCGATTGGTTGGAAGGATGGGAGAAGGAACTTGAACAGGACCTGATAGGCCCTTCAGAGTGTCAATGAACTGTTAAGATTCTTTTAACTTCAGCTGGCAGAGCCCAACATTGTTCCTATGTCCATTTGCTGCAAATCAGTTGTGTCAGGTAAGGGCTTAATGAGGCCACACATGAAGCTTATCCTATGTGGATCACTTAAGTCTGAGGCAGGGCAGTTGAAAGGCACAACCATCAGGCATTAGGCATTAGGAACTAGGCATGAGCAAGATAGCCATACCAGACCCTCCCCCCAAAAAAAAGCAGGGCTAGAGAGGTAATACAGGTGATAAGGCACCTGGCTTGCATGCAGATAACCCTGGTTCAATCCCCAGCAGGACCAGGTTCTTGAGCACTGACAGGAGTGTGGTCCTGAGAACCACCAAAAAAACCCAATCAAACAATGAAGATATAGATGGTATGGAGAAGTTTAATACTTAATCGCCACTAGCATCACACAAACAAAACACATGTGCCACAGGAGGCAGGAGGCAGCTGTTATCCATCTCAATAGAATTTCAGATTCTGAAAATTAAAATGGAAAACTTGGAGTGGTCCCTCTCGGAGAGTCCAGCAATCTACCAAGAGTATCCCACCTGCACGGCAGAGCCTGGCAAGCTCCCGTGACATATTCGATATGCCAAAAACAGTAACAACAAGTCTCACAATGGAGACATTACTGGTGCTGCTCGAGCAAATCGATGAACAACGGGAGGACAGTGCCACAGTGCTACTTGGGTTAATTTTCATCATAGAGAATTTTAAAGCTTATTTTTAAATTGCCATGTTTATGTTGCTTAAAGACTACTTTAAAGGTTGGGGGGAAAACATAAAAAATAAAGTAACCCATAAAATTTTTTGACAATTTAATGGGTTTACTTCCAAGCATTTCTCTTATGTGGCTGAACTGAAGACTGTTACTTTTCACTGAATGTATGCCCATTTTACTCATATGTTCACTAAATGTATGTCTAATTATGAAACAACTTTAAAGATCTATAGAGTTATCTGTCTGAAAGATATTTACCTATCTGCATCCAGTATGGATGTACTTCACTTGATTTTCATCTGGAAAGTGTTCCCTTTTGGACCAAAGAAACAGTATATGAGTTAAGATTAAGTTGTTTGTCTGACTTGCAGCCAACCTCACTTTGATTCCCGACACCATGTATGGTCCCATGAATACAGATCCAGGAGTAAGCCTTGAATACTACCAGGTGCGGTCCAACAGCCTCCACTTTCCCCCATCCCCTCCCTATGCACACATATGCAAAGACAATTTGGTTTTATTTCAGTTTATGTACCGTACTCTAGGTTTCATTAACCAGTATTGGCATATTGAAGAGAACACATAATTCATCATGTCTGCTGTTTCTTCAGATGGAAAATCCTCTCTTTAAATATAAATTTTAGATAACTCACATGTATTTGAAAAGTCATTTTTTCTCTCTTCCCTTTTCAACTAATTAGACTTGGGTAATGAGATAGACAGACACTGGAGTGTTCCCATTTTTTGGCAATTGTGATTAATGTTGTAGTGGACCTGGAGTGCAATTTCTCCCTGAGATACTGATTTTAATTCATTCAGAGTGAATTAAAAAAAAATGATTCTAGTGACTCAGAGTTGGGGGTGCAGCCACATATACTAGATCTAATTTTTCTCCTTGGAAGATGCTCCATACTATTTTCCATAATGCCTGAACCAATGTACATCTGCACCCACAGTATCTTTCCTCCATCACCTTGGAAACGTTTATTCTTTCCTGCGCTTTATGTCAGAGAATTTTACTGCCAAAAGATTTTCTTTTGTCTTGTTTTGTTAGTTTTTCAGGCCACACTCAAGTGCTTGGGGCATGCTCCTGGCTCTGTGCTCAGGCATGACTCCTAGCATTGCTTAGGAGTCATTTGTGTTGCCAGAGATAAAACTAGGGTCAGCTGCATGCAAGCAAATGTCTTCACTCTGGACTGTCTATCGACGCCAACCAAAGATTTTTAAAAAACTGTTTTCTTCAGATTGACATTGAAACACTAATCCTCTCACCTAATTCTAACTTTGATAGTAAAATAAAACTCCTTAGACTTATGCAGAAATTTTATTTGAAATACAACAGGGTACAGTCAATTTAATTGTGCTGACAATTTTTTTCTATAGGATTTAAGCTTTTAATAGAACAAGGGGGCAGACAGAGAGATAGTAAGGGGGTAAGTGCTTGGCTGGCACATCACTGACCTTTGTTCAATCTCTGGTACCCCATAGCATCCCCCAAAGCACCATCAGGAGTGATCCCTGGGCACAGAGCAGCCCTGAGCACAGCTATGTGTGCCCAACCACTCTAAAAGAAAGTGAGATATCCTTTTTGCAAGTTTTTATCTAGAGCTAGTTTTAACTAAGAAAATGACTCTTTTATTCATCAACTAAATAGACATCTTGAATTTTTCTAAGAAATGGTAAAGTGTTTGTGCATTAAAAGATTAAGCTGGGGTCGGAGCGATAGTACGAGGGTAGGAAATTTGCCTTGCATACAGCTGACTGGGATTTGATCTGTGGCATCCCATAGGGTCCTTTGAGTTCCGCCAGGAGTAATTCCTGAGAGCAGAGCCAGGAATAACCCCTGAGCATCACCGGGTGTGACCCAAAAAATCCAAATAAATAAATAAATAATAAAATATTAAGTTGAAAATACAGTTGCTCTGGAAAGATGTGAACTTATTAAATTCTATTCACGGTCTCCTGAAAATTAGACGTTTCTCCTAAAAGGAAGCTGAGATGCGGAGGAATAGGAGAGAGAAGGATGGACATGTTTAACGAGGACCATTGAGAAGTATGACCCTGTGCCTGCCTTGAAGGTTGCACTCATACTGATTCTCATTTTTAGTCTGATTTGCAAAAGAAAATATGGAAGTCACATTATATGATGATCATAAGTTCTAAAGTCTGTGTATAAGGCATGTATAAAAATCGTTTCCAGGCGGTCAGTGGGCCGAACATATGCTTTTTGTGGAGGAGGGCCAGATTTGTTCCATGGCACTACATGGTCCCCTGGGAGCAACCCCTGAGCACAGACCTGAGAGTAATTCCTGAGCACCACTGTCTGTGACCCCAGACCAAACAAATCCAAAATCACTTCTGAAATTCCTTAGCACTACCATCTGTGCCTTTTTTTCCTATTTCCCAGCAAGTACAACCACACGGATTGTTTATCAAGCCTGAACACAAGCACACAGGTTGCTACCTCTTTCTTTCGCGGGGTATCACTTTCAGTGGTGCTCAGAGGACCAGTCGGTGTTGGGGATTGAATCCAAAGGGGACTGAAAGCAAAACATAGCACATGGAGCACCAGCCCTTTGAACTGCCTCTTTGGTACATGGCTGCTACTTCTTCAGTTGGCTCCAGGGGGTGGTTTACTTGCATTTGGAGGCAGAGTGCATGAAAAATGCATATCCACAATTACATGCAACACAGGCTCCTGACTCTAAAGGAACACAGATAAACCAAGTTTATTCCAGGAAATTCAAGATTCACTTTCCCATCCTGTGCTCACACTGGGACAAATAGAGACCCAGGAGTGGAATCATAGCAGACATTTTACACCCTGAAGTGTTCCCTCTCTCGTTTCCTTAATTGTCTCTCTCTTTTTGGCAGAGTGAGTAGAGTTGAATTGATCCAACTAGAGTTAAAGTCAGTTTACTCAGTTCCTTTGCATATTCAACCAGATGTTCAGTTATTGAGTTCTTTCTCCTAGTTAATTGTTTTAGTCTTTATTATTATTATTATTATTATTATTATTATATTTTAGGTAATTATTTGCCTCCTGATGAATATGGTTTTGACCCACATGCTTAGCTTCTGGAGCTGACCTCTGGGTGTTCACATCCTCTTCCTCGGTTCCCATGTTTTTCCCATCAACCTCACTGTACCCTCCCCGCACCCCTCAGCCTGGCACTCTCAAGTCTGTAATCCAGCGTCCAACGTTTATTTCTGATTGAGTGATAGCAGAGCGGTTAGAGCGTTTGCCTTGCACATGGCCATCCTGGGTTCGATTCTTCTGCCCCTCAAGCAGGGGCTACCAAGAGTATCTCGCCTGCACGGCAAAGTCTGGCAAGCACCCCGTGACATATTCAATATGCCAAAAACAGTAACAATAAGTCTCACAATGGAGATGTTACTGGTGTCTGCTCAAGCAAATCGATGAACAATGGAAGGACAGTGCTATCGTTCTTTCTTAATCAGACTCAAGCATCATAGAGGAACTCACTAAGACGATGACAGAATACTGTGGAGAAGCAGAGTCATCCATTCACTTCCAATCAGAAAAAAAAAAGCAAATCACTCACTGTGGTGGGGTGTGGGGGTCTTGTACCAAGGGTTACATTCCTGGTGAGAAAGTCATTTTCATCTTGATAATTTCTCTCTCTCTCTCTCTCTCTCTCTCTCTCTCTCTCTCTCTCTCTCTCTCTCTCTCTTTTCTTCTCAACAGGCTGGTGCATTCGGGTCCAGGGAAAGGATCACCTCAGTTTGGTGTGGATCTCTCCTTTGCGACACGTACTGGGACCAGGCAGGGGATCGAAACGCATCTCTTCAGGGCTGAGATCAGCAGAGACCTCTCACACTGGACCAGGAGCATAGTCCAGGGTTGCCACAGTGCAGCTGAGCTCATCACAGAGATCACCACAGGTGAGCGCTGTAGGCGAGGGCTGCTGATGGCACACTCCAAAGGGGTCATGCTTGCTCTGCTGGACCCAAGTCCAAGACTAGCTGCTGGCTGGGCTTAAAAGTCTAGAGGCAAATTTAAATTCTAAATGAATACACCTCATGCCCTACTGAAATGGAACCTGGGGTTTTGATTGTGAAAACACCTTTCCTCCTCTTCACTGAAAAAAGAGTTGGTGAGTTGGAGAATCAGGTGTTACTTTTCCTCCCTTGGGGCTTCCTGGAGGCTTGGCCTGTGTGGTCCAAACCAGGGCACTGGTTCATTATCACAGAATAAACTGAGAGGAGATACACGGCTCACAAAATGGATGATGCACCTGCAGGATAAGAGTGAAAAAGAGTAGAACAAAAGACATCTTGCTGGGGCCAGAGCAATAGTAGAGTAGTTAGTCATTTGCCTTACACCTGGCCAACCTACCTGGGTTCCAGACAGTTCTACCATATGGTCCTCCAAACACCGCCAGGAGCGATTCCTGAGTGCAGAGACAGGAGTAACGCCTGAGCACTGCCAGTTGTGACTCCCAAACAAAGAATAAACAAATCAATAATAATAATAAGGCATCTTGCAGTGGGTAAACAAAATCAAGGGAACTGCGTTGGGAAATCATCATTACCTTTGTCCCCAGGCTGAATGGAGAGATGGACACTGATACCACCAGTTACTCAATCATGAGCCATCTTCACGTGGAACTCTTAAGATTAGCCAAGGAAGCGGCAGAAATGGGCTCTGTGTAGACAGGGAGGAATATCTTTCAATAATGTCTCATAATGTTATTATATTGCAAGAAACAAAGTTCATTTTAACCTGAGACCACTGTAGCACTGCTCTGTCCTCCTATTGTTCATTGATTTGCTCGAGCGGGCACCAGTAAAGTCTCACAACAAATTGCCAGGTAGCTTGTTACTGTTTTTTGGCATATTAAATACGTCACAGGTAGCTTGCCAGGCTTTGCCATGTGGGCAAGATACTCTTGATAGCTTTCCAGGATCTCTGAGAGAGGCAGAGGAATCGAACCCGGGTCATCAGCGTGCAAGGCAAATGCTCTACTGGCTGTGCGATTGCTCCAACCCAACCTGAGACCAGCGTTTTTAAAACAAATTTAATGAACTAGAAATAGCAGGGTACCTTTTATGGTTGTGTGTTGTAGGACTTTTGGTTTGTGGCTGCTTGTGTGTGTGCGTGTGTGTGTGTGTGTTGTGTCCTGGATCCCAATATATTGCCTCATCTCAAAGAACCCTCACAGTTCCCTCACCAACTTTATTTTACAGATTAGAAACTAAATTTTGTCAAGGGTTAAGCAACTTACCCTGGACCATACACTAATAAATGACAGAATTGTTGCTGTTAATATTAGTGTTATTATGAGTAATCATTATTTTTAATGATGCCAGGTCTCATGCTTAATCAAACCCAGGTCTCATGCTTACAAGACATGTACTTCACTGCTGAGCCATACCTCTAATCCTTGTTTATTCATTTGGGTATCTACAGAGCCCTAGAATGTATCACCATTATGCCAGTGATTTAATAAATAATTTTTCAGGTTGCCATGATAAATACTTTTATGTCACTCCCCAACATATATATATATATAATAAGTATAGAGGTAGATATATAATGGATAATAGATGTGTATAACAAGCCACACCTGGCAGTGTTTCTGCCTTACTTCTGATTCTGCACTCAGGTATTATTCCTGGCAGTGCTTAGGGGACCATATGGGGTCCCGGTATCAAACCCAGTTTGGCTACATGTAAGGCAAGCATCCTACCTGCTGTACTATCACTCCAACTTCTCATTTAATTTTTCTTAACTGGGCAAAACAATATAAATCTAGGCAAGTGTAATAAAGAATTTTTTTCCTTAAACTGTAAGTCCTTATATTTTTTTCTAAATTGGGTCAGTTAAATGAGTCATTTTTTTTTTCATATAGAATCATGATGTTTTCTTCATTGTATAAATCTGTGCGTAGTCACTGGGACTGAGGAAACTGTGCTTAGGGAAGTGGACTGACTTTCACCATTCATCTCTCTCTCTCTCTCTCTCTCTCTCTGTCTCCCCCCCACCCCCGCACACCCCCTCCCAGCTTGCACCTACAAGAACCAGGAGTGCCGTCTGACCATCCATTATGACAATGGCTTTTCTATCACCACTGAGCCACAGGAGGGGGCCTTACCCAAGACCATCCTTCAGTCTCCTTATGAAAAGCTGAAAATGTCATCCGATGATGGGATCAGAATGCTGTATTTAGATTTCGGAGGCAAAGATGGAGAGATTGTAAGTGCACTTCTCTGAGCATGCTAAGCAATGATTTCCTTCATGTTTCACACCAGTCATGACTGGCAGGTGTTACCTGGTACCTATTCGACATGTGAACTACCAACAGATTCTGCTCGTTATAGCTTATTTGATCCTGAAAAAGTGAACAGATTAGCGGGTTATTTGTTTCAAAGCTCCTCCTTCTATCTCCTTTACTATAGAGTACTACCTAGGTTTCTGAAGCAGAGGAAGGAATCTGACTGGAGAGAGAGCTCCAGTATGAGTGCATGCGGGAGTTCTGGGTTTGACCCCTGACCCCACACAGTACCTGTACACCGCCAGAAGTAATTCTTGAGCACAAAGCCAGGAGTAGCCCATAAGCACCATCAGGTGCGGCTTAGGAACCAACAAAAGGAAACAATCCTTTCCAAATTCATCATTAAATTCTCATTAGATGAGGTCCGACCAGCTTCAACAATGTCTCATTCAAATGCTAAAAATCAGGAGTATTTAGCCTACTGTCAACATTAGTCTCAGAGCATAGATAGAAGGCAGAGGGTCCACAGCTTTGGTCATCCATCGGGTGGTCTTTGCAGAACAGAGAGTTGCTGAAAGCCATCGGAAGAGATAGACATGGAGCTGCAGGAAAGAGAACATGATTATCTCTACCCAAAAGGGCAGAGCGTGATGGGTCCATGCATGAAAAGTATGGCTAACAGTATTGGAAACCAAGTAGCTCAATAAAAGTGGTTTAAAAAATAAATGTTAAGTTTGCCACTCATTGCCTCTTTTGCAAACCTTAGCAACCAAAAGGAGAGAGAGAACAAAAGGGAATGCCCTGCCACAGAGGCGGGATGGGATGGAGGTATGGGAGGGGTGGGAGGGGTACTGGGATCATTGGTGGTGGCGAATGGGCACTGGTGGAGGGATGGGTACTCGATCATTGTATGACTGAAACCCAAGTACAAAAACTTGTAAGGTCAACAACTGTACCACATGGTGTCTCACTAATAAAAAAATTTAAATAAATAAATAAGGCTGGAGCGATAGTACAGCAGTTAGGGCAATTGCTTTGCATATGGCCATCCCAAGTTCGATTCCTGATATCCCATATGGTCCCTCAGGCACTACCAGGTGTAATTCCTGAGTGCAAAGCCAGGCGTAAGCCCTGAGCATCACTGAGTGTGACCCCAAAACCAAAACAAAAAGTTAGACTGGAAGCTGTTCTCAAAAGCAAATTTAGAACAACTCTCGTCCTTTACTGCCAGGGTCACTCAGGGAAGAAATTAGGCTCTGCTGGATCTGGTTGCTGCAATGTTGAGATTAAAGACCTCATGGACTGAGAGATAGTGCAGGTGTGTACCTTGCACGCAGCAGATTCTGGTTTAACCACTGGCACCAATATGGTCCCAGAGCCAAGTCAGGAATGATCCCTAAATGCAGAGCCAAGAGTAAGCCCTGAGCGCTGCTGGTGTGCAGTCCACCCCCCCCCCCAACTCCTCACCTCAGAAGGAAGGAATTAGGGGGTGGGGGAGGGGACAGAAGGGAGGGGAAGAGGAAAAGGAAGGTTGGGAAAAGTAAGGAAAGAGGGAAGGCCCTAGTTCTCCACGTGTGCTCCTGAGCTTTCTTCCCTATATTCAACCACCAATAAAGTCCCACAGGAGAAAAGACTGAAGTAATTGTGGAGAATGAGGAGAAAGAAGAGGGATTTCAACAAAATGGATGGATTGTTTCATGTTGTGTGGGTTTTTGTATGGGTTGTTCTTTCTTTCTTTCTTTCTTTCTTTCTTTCTTTCTTTCTTTCTTTCTTTCTTTCTTTCTTCTTGGGTCAAACCCGGCAATGCACAGGGGTTACTCCGGGCTCTGCACTCAGGAGTTACTCCTGGTGGACCATATGGGATGCTGGAAATCGAACCCGGGTTGGGCGTGTGCAAGGCAAATGCCCTATCCGCTGTGCTATCATTCCAGCCCCTGGGATAGGCTTTTATTTGTATTTTGTCTTAAGCATCATGGTTTGCAGTGGCATGAATGACGGGGTTTCGTGCAGAATATTCCCATACCGCACCCTCACCAGAATGTCCACTTCCCTCCACCTGACTTAGAAGATTTAGGAAGGACGGAGACACTGATTGGATTAGTAAGATCAAAGTCACATACAGCTTCTCCCAGAGTGTCATTCATTCACCCCAAGAGGCAGGTACCAGGCATTTTGTGGGTTAATGGAAGGAAGGACGAGAGAGAAATGGTAGGAAAAGCAAGAAATTGAAGATCCAGAGACCCGTGTTCTCTTTCTGAGTTCTCTTTCTAACTCACCAAGTGTCTTTGGCAAGTCCTTTCATTTCTTTGCATCTGATTTCCCCACTTCTAAATGCAGAGGATGAAATAGGCCACCTTTAAGGTTTCTTCCCCATTTGACAGTCCATGTCAGCGAATTAAAACTCTGCTTAAGCCCAGGCTCTGGCATCAGAGACCCCTGAGCGGTTTTTTGTTTGTTTGTTTGTGTTTGTTTGTTTTGTTTTGTTTTGTTTTTTTAAAATTGAATCATCGTGAGCTACACTTACAAACCTTTCATGTTTGAGTTCCAGTTATACAATGATCGAACACCCATCCCTCCACCAGTGTACATTTTCCACCACCAATGTCTCCAGTATCCCTCCCCTCTCCCGTATCCCACCCCTCCCCCTGTCTCTATTCTCTGTCTACTATTGGCATTGTGGTTTGCAATACAGATAATGAGAGGCCATCATGTTTGAGACCCTTGAGTTTGAGTCCAGGCTTTCTTTGTCCTGGTAGAACTATGCTCTCAAAATATTTTATAAGTAAAGTAAGTAAAGGCCCTCCCGTTGATCATCGATTTGCTCGAGCGGGCCCAGTAACGTCTCCATTGGAGACTTTGTTGTTACTGTGTCTGGCATATCGAATACTCTCGGTAGCTTGCCGGGCTCTCTGAGAGGGGCAGAGGAATCGAACTCGGGTCGGCCATGTTGGCTGCGTGCAATGCAGACGCCTTCCCCGCTGTGCTATCGCTAATCATGATGATAATAACAACTACCTCACAAGGATTGTGTGATAATAAAAGAAGTGAAATTTAAGAAAATATTTAACACTTGTTTCATGCTAACTGGAGCCTTCCCTTTACTAGGTGGTATTTTACATTCAGGTTGTCATTCTCCTACAGTATCGGGAAGAACAGATAAGAATTGAGAACATCTGGGGCTAAAGAGATAGTACAGTAGGTAGGGGAGTTGCCTTGCACGTGGTCGACCAGATTCAATCCTCAGCTCACCCCATAGGGACCCCTGAATCCTTCTGGAGAGATCCCTGAGCACAGAGCAACCTGATTGAGGCTCTAGTCATGCATCCAGTGTTCTCTTGGGCTCTGGCTTATACATCTGGGATTGAAAGGAACCAGAACAGACATATAATTTACCTACTTAGAGCGCCAGGTGTAGGACAGTAAGGATGCAGCTCTTAGCAGCATGGTTTCCTGTATTTTGGATTCAAGGAATTTTCATTACCATTTGAACTATATCTACCCTATGAGTTAGGGAGGACCAAAAAGGTTTTTAAGTTACTTGTCCAAGATATTATGTATAAAATTGTTAGAAACCAGAACCCAACCCTAAATCTTCAGATGTGAAATTTAATAGTGTATGTAGTCCAACATAAATAATATTACCATAGCGATACCCAAAATAAATGCTTTTAGACGGTCAAGAAAAGCAACATCAATATTTATGCTACTGGTTCATATAAATTTCACAGGATCTAAAAAGAGATGAGGTATAAGGAATAAGTTTAAGGTTATTTTTTATTGGAGGGGCAGGGAACATGGATTTAAAACATAATTGCTTCGGTTTATCATTCAAAATCAGGAAGTACAGAAATGCATTTGGTGTGGTGATCATAATTCTGTATCAAGCTTTCATTACAAATCTCTCATGCTTTATTCTCTTTCAATTTTAGCAACTGGACCTTCATTCCTGCCCCAAGCCAATTGTTTTCATCATTCATTCCTTCCTGTCAGCTAAGATTACAAGACTGGGCTTGGTGGCCTGAACAAAGGACAACTCCGCTTGGAGAACAGGAGGCTTGCAAAACGACCCAGGGGGGACCACTGGGCATCATTTGGCAGTGAGCAGAGCCCCAGACCTGGCATGTCACTGTCAGCTCCAGATGCTAAGTCCTCTGCAACTTTCCAGACTCCTCAGTCAGTTTTGCCAACTCCAAAGGGGTGCCCTAAGAAAGTGCTATGAGGACTATCAGAATAAAATTCTTTTTAGAAAGTGTAAAGGGGTGAAGGCAATTGGAAATACGCAACATAGCTTTTTAAATAACGACAATCAAGGACTCGAGCTTTAGAACAGCATGTGTAAATCTTAATCTGTTTCTAAGCAACTGGTGCACCCAGGTAAGCAAGGGCTGAATAGACGAGAAATAGACATTTTCACTTCTCCCAGCACATCCCAGTATGAGCTCTCACTGTATTGTGATTTATTTCCTACTTGTCATTGAGTGTTTTTTACTGGCAAGGAAAGAAAAATACTTCATATGGAAACCTTCCTTTATATTGAAGTATGAAGCAGCTGTAACTTTTGTTCTTAATGGATTTTCTTCCAGCAGTGTAGGATGATTCTGAAATGTCCCCGTTAGCATGTGCTGAGTAGGAATTAAAGAAAGCGATATCTATTGACTCTGAGCTGTTAAGTTGGTAGAATCTGAGCCAAAGACTGCTTATATTGCAAGCTTTGCTGGAGAATGGTATGTGTGAAATATGATTAATTCCAGACCATGCAATCCCCTATGTCTCCTGTTCTAGGACCATGATTTAGAACCTTATATGGAAGGCAAATGATATATTTTTAAGTTTATATATATAAACAATGCACATGGGATGAACTATCCCTTTTTTGTGGTTGTCAGTGGAATTTTGGAGCAACATATTGGCCCTTGTTTCTGCCTGTGCTTGTATGCATGCATTTTCAAACAAATAATAGAACAGCCTCATATAATTCAGAATAGTGCTGGGTTTTACATACTTCTAAGTATGGTCCCAGCTTATGATAGAGTCTATTGATAGCATTCACAGGTCTTTCAGAAGTCCAGGGAAATAATATAGTGACCTGATATTTTTTTACAAGAATATTCTCAGACAATATATAGCACATTACTTATCTAAAGCTTTTCCTTATATCTTTTGAAATAAATCACTTAAAATCCACTTATGAATTGATGTTGATGTCACTGTCCTAAAACCTTGGAAATCTGCTCTAGCATTTGTGACATTTCTTCCTTTAGTTTACATAGATAAATGCCCTGGGTCAAAGGTGTGTGCTTTCTCAGAATCATATTTTAGTAAATACCTATGCAAAGAGATTTTAATAGGTAAAGCAGTTTTTAAAGGAAAGTGGTATTGCTCACTCAGACATCTGTGTTTATGGAGTTGCAAAGTTTTATGTTTTCCCAAAGTATCTATCATAGAATATTACTTCCAAGGGACATTGATGGAGTGGTATTTTGTGGATGGAGGAAATAAGGAGTTTGGTCATCAGAAATGTTTGTTGGATATTAAATTAACAAAAGTTAAACCAGTTGTCTCAGAGACTTTAATAGACATTGTGATTTTCAAGAGTAAACATGCCATTTTTGACACAATTTCTTTCTTGTGGAACCAGTGTGTTTTAAAAATAAAGAAAAGAAAAACAAACAAAAAAAGCGTACTTTAGAAAACACAACTTTGAAACTTTAAACATTGTTTTAGGTTTTAAAATACTGAAGGGTGAAACCCAAACCTGAATAGTAGGAAAGCGTTGATGTATTTGTAAATTTACGTATTCTTTCATTATATATTTTCAGAATCACTGGAATGTTGTTATACAAGAGTACTTGTACTTGTGTATTGTAAATAACATTAAAATGCATATATTAATGCCAGTAGTTTAAATCAACAGTATATAATCTAAGGTGCTCAGTACTAGATGAAGTATGAGTTAATTACTCATAATTAAGTTGCAAAGATCCTATTATATATTTATAAGCAAATTAAAATGATAATAATTACAAATATTATTTCTTTCTTCATCACTTCAGTTTTTGAGTGAACAATATCTTTCTGGGTGGAAATCAACATAACTACATTCTCTGCATTTATAAAAATTAATTTAAATATTTATATTTTAGAGAAAATATATTTGAATAAAATTAATGCATTTTCTGCATTAAAGTGCATTCTTAGAAATATAAAATTTTACTAAGAAAATTGTGTATCCGAATTATTTTTTTCCCCGTAACTCAAAATATATCACATGAGAGTGGTTATGATGAATCAATTGTGAATATTCCTCTGTTTCTTATTCTGAATTCAATGTTGCAATGACTTTACACTGTAGAATTTAATCTTGTCCTGTTGTGTGTTACGAATGTGCTGAATGACAGGATCTCATACATCTGGGTCATGGCTCGGTACAGTCAATGAATGGACTTAGTCATGTGGAGATACTTGTTCTTGTCGAGTTTCCTCTGTGCTCAGCTTGTTTCTTATTTGAATTGATAGTTTATTAAATTCAGTGTTTTTCCCTTTAGGGAAATGAAATGGGAAACTACCAATCCCTTCGTGTGGTGAAACATTGTCAAACCATCCCATAGGAATTTAAAGATTCAATAGGAATGAATATATATGTGTATGTATATGTATGTGTGTATATATACATCCACATATATGTGAATATATACATACATATAACCACCAATTTTTTCCCAAAGTAATGAGCAGAAGCTTCCTCCAGCCCACCTCCACCCCCACCCCGGCTTCTACAATACTTGCTCCTTGCTTTTGAGGGCATTGGAATGAACTGGGTGAGAGGATAATTTTTGAATGTATCTTGAGTTTTTAAAAAATGTGCCTATGTTTATAGCACCATGGAGATCATGTAAAATTTATATATGAATTAATAAATATTCACCTCTGACTATGATGGACTGACTTGTGGTGTCCTGGTTGCCACAGAAGTGTGGGAGTGTGAAGACATGCTGCCTGGTGTCCTCGTTCCTCAAGATTGGCTAAAGAAGTGCTACAGAGGGCTGGAAGTGATAGTACAGTGGGTAGCATGCTTGCCTTGAATGTGGTTGGCACAGACTTGATCCTCTGCATCCATAGGCAGGGGAGTAACCCCTGAGCATCTCCAGATGTGTCCCCGTAAAAAGGGTGCTAATTGAAAAGAAGGATGTCACTACAATATTTTTTGAAGAACTTTTGTATCCATGTATTTGTATGTATGCTCTAAGCACTTGCATTCTAGTACTCAAACCATATTATTCTCTATTAAGGCTTGGTGTACATTTAAGATGCTCATCTAACAGGCCAGGGTTCAGACATTCTTCCACTATTTAGAAATTTCATGGAAATGAAATTACATTTCAAATAGTAGAGCCTCAGTTACTAAGTGATGCTCAACATATTATTGCCCAAAAATTATTTATAATTTTATCAATGCTACATTTGCCTATTAAGAGTATCTGATTTGCTAATAGTACAGATAGCAACATAGTATAAATACTACATGAAAATAATTGTACACCAATTTTAAAATTCTAAGTTTAACTTGATTTACTGGGATTTATCCTAGATATGTAATTGTACATGTGCATGAAGACTAACTGGGTTATCTTTGCAGGATTGTTGGTAATATGACACTAGAAAATATTATGGCAGGCTGGTGAGATAGTACAGCAGTTACATGTATACTAAGGTGTTTGCAGGATGTTCATTCTGCATGAAATTGAAAATTTCTGGTCATGTGGAGAGAATCTCTTATCTCTATTCCATTGTTTCCAGTCTAGAGTTTTTAGAAAGTTCTTACAATTCTAGTGCCAAAGCTCAGGGCTGCCTAACTCAGTCGTCATCCAGTTCTACATGAGCAAACATGGAAGCTCAATCTCTTTCCCACATGAATGTTCCATATGAAAATATAAATAAAGGCTACTACTGGGTAAAATTAAATGATCTGCAGGTGATAGTAAATGGGACATTTAAATATTCAGTTTTCTTTTTCTTTTTTTTCTTTTTTTTGCTTTTTGGTTCACACCCGGCCACGCACAGAGGTTACTCCTGGCTCTGCACTCAGGAATGTCCCCTAGCGGTGCTCAGGGGACCATATGGGATGCTGGCAATCGAATCCGGGTTGGCTGTGTACAAGGCAAATGCCCTACCCGCTGTGCTATTGCTCCAGCCACTAAATATTCAGTTTTCATCTGCAAAGAACTAATTGACCTAGAAAAAAACCTTCCCTACCTAGTGGTAGAAAGTGACAGGAAAGCAGACATTTATATACCAATTAGGTGGTATATATTTGGCAGTAATTTGGAGGGCAATTTAGCAATAGTTACAAAGATAAAAATAAGTGTGCTTTTTGATTTACTGGGATTTATCCAAGGTATGTAATCGCACATGTGCATGAAGACTAACTGGATTATCTTTGCAGCATTGTTTGTAATATGACGCTAAAAATATTATGGCGGGGTGGTGAGATAGTACAGCAAGTAAGGATTTTCAATCCTCTGCACCCCATATGGTCCCCAGTTCAGCAGAAGGAGTGACCCCACAGTCAAAAGTAACCCCTGAGCACTACTTAATGTGGCCCAGAACCTCCTCCCCCAGTCCCTAAAAATATCACTATGAATCAAACATGAAACAAAATCTAGCACACTGATGGGGATAGGGGTTAGAATATTTTTTGGCAACTGTTATTTAAAAAAATCAAAGGAATACACCCAGAAGCTGTACAGACTAACTGGAACAAAGATTGCTACATGCAGGTTTTTCCAGATGCTCATAGAGAGATGCCATTCATTTTTCTAAAAAGTGACCCTCAAGAATTGCGGTGTGAAGAAGAAAACATCCAACCCTATCAGAAAATGGGGTGATGAAATGAATAGAAACTTCTTCAAAATGAAATCCGAATGGCTAAAAGACACATGAGAAAATGCTCTACATCATTAATTATCAGGGAGATAAAGATCAAAACAACAATGAGATATCATTTCAGACCACAGAGACTGGCCCACATCCAAAAGAACAAAAGGCAACCAGTGCTGGCGCAGATGTGGCGAGAAAGGGACCCTCCTTCACTGCTGGTGGGAATGCCGACTGGTTCAGCCCTTTTGGAAAACAGTATGGATGATTCTCAAAAAACTAGAAGTTGAGCTCCCATTTGACCCAGCGATTCCACTCCTGGGAATATACCCCCAGAGAGGCAAAAATGTATAGTCGAAGCTATATCTGCAGTTGTCTGTTCATTGCAGCACTGTTTACAATAGCTAGAATCTGGAAAAAACCTGAGTGTCCAAGAACAGATGACTGGTTAAAGAAGCTTTGGTACATCTACACAATGGAATACTATGTAGCTGTCAGAAAGGATGAAGTCATGAAATTTACATACAAGTGTTACTACATGAAAAGTATCATGCTAAGCAAAATGAGTCAGAAAGAGAGGGATAGACATAAGAAAGATTGTATTCATCTGGGGATCATAAAGTAACAAAATAGGAGACTAACACCCAAAAATAGCCGAGATAAGTACCAGGAGGTTTACTCCATGACCTGAAGGCCAGCTTTACACTCTAGGGGTAAAGGCAGCCCAGATGTAGAAGGGAGCACCAAATGGGGGGTATTGGAAGGATCCCCCCAGGATAGGAGAAGCATGCTTAGACTAGACTCTAGACCAAACATGTTGCCACTCGATGCCTCTTTTGCTGGCCACAGCACCCAAAAGGAGAGAGAGAACAAAAGGGAGTGCCATGCCACAGAGGCAGGGTAGGATGGAGGGATAAGGGGGCGTGGAAGGGTATCAGTGGTGGTGGAGAATGGGCACTGGTGGAGGGATGGGTACTCAATCATTGTACAACGGAAACCAAGCACAAAAATTTGTAAGTCTACAACTGTACCTCATGGTGTTTCACTAATAAAAATTTTTTAAAAATGATTCTAAGAATTGCTGGGGAATCCTCACATAAAAAAAAAAAAGAATTGCGGTGTGGCAGGGCTGGAGCAATAGTACATCGAGGAGGGCATTTGCCTTGCATGTGGCCAACTTAGATTTGATTCCCAGCATCCCATATAGTCCCCTAAGCGCCCTCAGAAGTAATTCCTGAGTGCAAAGCCAGGAGTAACCCCTGGTCATCGCCTGGTGTGACCCAAAAAAGCAAAAAAAAAAAAAGAATTGCAGTGTGGCCAGTGCATTTTGACAGTCTGTGCTTGTGGTGTTTGGGTGCACTCTGGTTGTCACATTTGGGGGAGACACTGTTAGCGTTGACTGAATAAAAAACAGAATGGATGAGCTTCCTGATATTTGATTTCCGACATAATTTTTGTGTCCCAAGTTATTCATGATCTGAGCCTTAACCCTGGCACTTTACATGCAAAAATATTTTTATACATCATTACACTCTCCATTTACTAGCTTTCGCACTGCCACCTGTATGAGAATAAAACTGTGTTTTCATTTTGCTCAGTGTTCTGGAGGAATGAGGAGGAGGAGCTAGATAATTGACCTCTGATCAGTTTACAGACCCTCATTTGCATAAGGGCAAATGTGGTCCGATTGGGTCTTTTTTTTTTCCCCTTTATTTTATTTTTTTTTACAGTTGTAGATTTACAATTTTTTGTGCTTTGGTTTCAATTATACAATGATCAGATACCCATCCCTCCACCAGTGCCCATTTTCCACCACCATGGATAATATCCCTCCCACCCCCATCCCCCCATCCCCCCTGTCTCTGTGGCAGGGCAATCCCCTGTGTTCTCTCTCTCCTTTTGGGTGTTGTGGTCTGCAAAAGAGGCATTGAGTGGCAAACATGTTCAGTCCATAGTCTACTTTCGACATGCATCTCCCCTCCTGGGAGGATCCTCCAAACATCCTTTATTTGGTGCTCCCTTCTCTATCTGAACTGCCCTTTCCTCTAGGATACCCGGCTGGCACAAACCCATATTGTCATGAGTGCGGGACATTGCAAGGGAAAATTGAGGAGCAACTAAGGTTGAAGATGGAGCCCCTGAGACTTGACCCCACTGGGACCACGTGGTAGGCAACCTTCACCCATAACCTCTCCTTTTGATTTCCCGGCAGTGGTCCCTCTTCTCGTCTCATCCCTCACCACTCTGGTGGCCAGCCTAGTATACAATCACCTTGGTGGTGCTGGGGGACAATGGGATAAACAGCACCCCAAGAAGGAATAACAAACTGCGACATCCTAAAGCCTTGTGCAACTGTGTGCTGGATACCCCCACGAAAAGTTTGTTCACAGTTTCTTGAGATATAGAGACCTGATCCTTCAAGCAATAAATTGAGTCGTCTCTCTGCAGAGGCTCCAGGAGTGTGTGTGTGTGTGTGTGTGTCTTTTCTTGTGGCTCCTTGAGCTCACTCTCCCTCAAAGGGCTCCCCCCCACACCCAGTATGGTGCACAACAGCGGGAATTAGGTGGACTGCCAGGGCCCACTCCCTGGCCAGTCCCATGACCCCCAGCGTGTTGGAGTGACACGTAAGGGCTTATCTGACCTGACTGCTCATTGTAGAAATCCTTATTTGCTTCATGCAGTTGAACTAGTCAGTTCTGTAAAACCTCTTTTGATATTGAACATAATCAGTCAGATGGCAGAAACAGCTAAGAGGTGTAGATCCAAAACATACATGAGCTGTGTAGTGTTGAGTAGATGAAGTTGCTGCGCCAGACCTGGAGGCAGCTATTTCTGGCATCCTACGTTACATCTACTTCTCTGCAAGAAGATTTAGCTACGTGCACTATAAATAAAGAGCTGACATCTCGTGGCTGGGCAGCTAGCTTCCACGCCGTCCATCCACAAGAACCTGAAGTCAGTCAGATCTGCTGCAACAAGGACGTTATTTCACACCATTCTCTCTAGCAGCAAATGCATTATAGCATTTGAGTCACTTATCTCAAAACACCTACCTTGTATGAG